CCGGAACAAGTAGGCCTATACTGCATAGAAATTTCCTGTCAGCGCATTATTTCAGCTGATTTTTTTTTTCCGATGAGCATGAACGGTACACGTGCGGAACGCACATTCATAGATCGGAATATTGAGCAGAGATTCAAACCGCGCAGTGACGAGGAGAGTGAAACCTGCGTGCTGAACACTGCCGGGCGAGGCGCGACGCGGCGTGCCATATATATTATTATTATATGTAGCCTATATTTTCGGTGCATCCCTACTTACATCCCCTCCTTGTTTACAAATTCGAAGTAAGTCCATACATCCGATTTAAACGCGGACGGGGCTTTCCTGATAACTTTCAGCGATGCCGCCCTCTTTATTTTACTAACTTACTGCATGCTGAAGGTGACCCAGCTGACCTCACCAGAAAAAAAACTCAACACCACCATCTAGTGGATTGTAAAGAAATTGATTTTATTATTCTACCAAATAGTATAATAAAATATCTATAGCCTACTTGGCGTCCATGTATCGATACAGTATTGCTGTGGAAAATATCGCGATACTATGCTGTATCGACTTTTTCCCCCACCCCTAGACCATAGCCATGCATTTTACCAGTTGGTGAGACTCTTCAAACAACATGATCTTTCTAGTGAATCCAACTGACCAAGATAGTAATGCTGGTCCAGTTACTTTGAAAGCATTGTGGGATTAGTAGCACACCAGCATCCTTTACTGAGAGTAGCATCCAAGAGATATGCTGTTGAAGTTATACTGGTTTTCTCTGAAGGGCATTTATAGGAAGAGTTGGTGCTTATTTCTTCTACTTTATTATGAAGGAATTTTTACAGCTCCTTCAGGATGAAGACTGCACTTGATAGGTTCATCAAGGGATTTCTATAGCTATCGATAAATTATAACAATTATCTCTAATATGGTGTTCATAGATGTGTCTCTGTGTGCTTGTGTATCACTTACTGATTACAAAAAGCTTTGGCTTCACTCATTTTTGGCGTATATGTGTGTGTGTGTAGCAACAGTAAGTATTGGCTGTCTGGGACACACATAGCCTATGGCAGGAAAACCCCACTAGCTTACCCCCCCACCCCCCCCTGAGATGTCCTAGCAATCCGCACATGCTCACAGCTGTCCCCTGTGACAGCATAGTGCTGATGATGTCTGCTTTCTCTTTCCATAGACACCTCCAGCTCCCTTTCCCCATACCCCCAGCAGTAGATAGATTCTCTCAGGTCCCCATGCCCTCTCAGTCTGGGAGTGAGAAACTGCGTCAGCCAACTAATTCACACCAATCCCAGGTGAACGACCTCCTTCAGAGTACAGAGATAGAGATTGGTGTGTGTATGAGTGTGTGTCTTGATCAAGTACTCCTAGCAGATAAAAGTTGAGCACTGCAGTTGTTTTCGTACATGACTGGCATCCTAACATTCGTCCTTATTCAACATTAAACACAAAAACAAATTTTTACATTACAGCAGTGCTTTGTGGTGGAACAAATACCAACTTTATATAGAGACCCTGTCTCAAATGGCACACTGATTGTGGACTCGTGTTATTGTGGCCCTCATGAGTTTCCTAGAGATAATAGGGTATCCCGTTGGTCATTTTAAATTTCAAAAGGGTCATCGTAAGTGCTTCCCTTGTGGTAGCTAGGTGCCCTCAATACATACATTTGCAGAGCCTGCATGTGCTGATGTGTACTTCCCAGTGGACTATTAGCCAACAGCCCATATGTTCATGTGTATACTCGAAGGAGGACAGCGGGTACCATTTGGGACAGGGGCGTTGATGTAAGAAAACCCTGCTGGAAATTCAGTTCCATGCCAGCTAAAGGTGGTCAAGCTGGTTTGTTGCTGAAATAAAATGGTCTACCACAGGGGTGCAAAACTCTGCAGAGTTTAGTTCCAACCCTGCTCCAACACATGTAGTTTTCAAATAACCCTGAAGGACTTGATTTGCTGGATCAGGTGTGTTTAATTAAGGCTAAAGCTAAACTCTGCAGGCCTGTGGCCCTCCAGGAACTGAGTTGTGCACCCCTGGTCTACTATGTGTAACTTGCTTGGCTGAGATAGTCTTCCAATTTGAAACCAAGTCCATTAAGATGATGGTGCATTTGTTAAATCACTTTTTCCCAAATCTGGTCCTAGTGTACCTCTAAAACTGCAATTTTTTTATGTCTCTACTGTCCAATACACCTAATTTAACTCATCAGCTTGTTATCAGAGACTCCAAGACCTAAAATGGGTGTGTTAGATAAAGGAGACAGACAAAATGCATACGGTTGGGGATACTCCAGGACTAGGGTTGGGAAATGTTGTGCTGAATATCTAGACCTGTTTCGACCAACTTGGTCCAGCTTGAACAACATGAAATCAGTTAGCATTAAAACCTGGTTTCCCTGCTGGTTTGAGGAACATGGTAACTGGCTTTCTGCAATTCCAAAGTGGTCTACCAGCTCTGACCAACTTGACCAAGATGCTTAAACAAGGTACATCAGTTGAAAGTCCAGCTGACAAACAGTCTATGCCAGCTCAGTGCAGTTAATGACCATAAATGATCGGTCAATCTAGAAACAATGTAAAATCAGCTAGCATCAGAAGCTGGAGTTTTTCCGGTAGGGAAGTTGAAGTAGGGCAGGGTATAAAAAAATATTCCCAGCGATATATAAGCACCAGCAGCCAGGATTGTGTCATCTCCTCTCACCAGCCTCTAGTCCAGTGTGCAGATACTTGACTAATGAACATTAACACTCTTTCATTAGAAGAATGGTCATTTATCTCATGTCCTCTTTCCCATTTCTCTCTCCCTCTCTCTTCCTCTTTCATGCTGCCGCATTCTCTTTCATGTTATCATCCCTCATGGAACTTCCACCAATTCCCCTTCTTTCTTTATCCTCCATCTCTCCATTTGTCTTCCCATCAAATTTCTCCTCTTTTTAATGCTATCACACCATCATTCTGTGCATGCTTGCTGTCCCCTCCTTGTTATTTCATCTCTCCCTCTCTTTATCTCTTTATCTCTTTTTCTCTTTCTTTTTCTCTCTTTATCCCACATCTCCAGTCTTTGTATGTCCTGGGACTCTATTAAGGGTGCAGGCAGCAAGTTTGCTGCAGGAGGCAGAGCATCAGTCGGGGGCATGGTGTAAGGATCCCCTCCAGTCTGGTGACCGTCTTTACGTCATGCCCTGGACTCCGTACCGCACAGACATGCTGTACGAGTATGCTTCATGGGAAGACTTCAAGCAGAATCGAGCCACGACCACTTACAAGTGAGTGAGGACTACAGCTTGGGTCTAGAACCAGTAACCATCCCTGTGTACAATCTACAAGATAATAATTTAACAAAACTTAGATTTAGCAGTTTTTTGTATATGCTTCTTGAGTTCTCAAGAAGGGTTCTTGAGTTTCTTCTTAATGTTAAATGAAAGATTCTGCAGATTAACATACTGATTCTATGTATCACTATCAGGTATATAAGAGTGTAGAATCCTGATTTAGTTTCAGATCATAATGTTTCTAAAATATAGCTGAAATTACATTTATAGCTAGTCATCTCAAGTATCCCACTCTTCTCCCACAGGCTGCCAAATCGTGTGGATGGAACAGGCTTTGTCGTGTATGATGGTGCCGTTTTTTACAACAAGGAACGTACACGCAATATTGTGAAATACGACTTGCGCACACGTATCAAGAGTGGAGAAGCAATAGTCAATAATGCCAACTATCATGACACCTCACCGTACCGCTGGGGGGGCAAGTCTGATATTGACCTCGCAGTGGATGAAAACGGTTTATGGGTCATCTACGCTACCGAGGCCAACAATGGACGACTTGTGGTCAGCCAGGTCAGTGTCACTTAAAAGTGCAATTTAAAGATATTGTATTTCAGCTGAGATCGAATTGGAATTATGGTTACATTTTAAGGATCTCCATTTTCCAGAACTGTGGAGTAATCAAGTTATTTTGGTGTATCATATGAACACAACCGAAATCCGAACCCTTTACTCTCGCTGTCTTTTAGGTTAACCCCTACACTCTGCGCTTCGAGGGGACCTGGGAGACGAGCTTTGATAAGCGACTGGCGTCCAATGCTTTTATGGCATGTGGTGTTCTATATGCTGTCCGCTCTGTTTATCAGGATGACGACAGCGAAGCAGGTGGAGATCTGGTGCTGTATGCGTACAACACCAACCGAGCACGGGAAGAGCCCGTCCACATCCCATTCCCCAACCCCTACCAGTATGTGTCCTCTGTGGATTACAACCCACGAGACAATCAACTTTATGTCTGGAATAACTACAATGTGCTGCGCTACCCCCTAGAGTTTGGCCCACTGGATCCCACTGCTGGTAAGTGACAGAGAAAGAGTGAGATCAGCAGGAGGCGGAGGCTAACAGACAGTTTGATCTGTTAAGTGTCAACGTTCTGTTAGTGTTCCCCTCTGTGTCTTCAATACATTGTCTTTATGGTTTAATTAGCAGTGGTCATTAGCGTTTTGTCAGATCAGAAAAAGATTTCTAATCAATTATTCATTCTCATCTTCTTGCCATGAACATTCTCTGTCTGTCTGTCTCTCTCTCTCTTTCTCCTCCTGTATTTCGCTCTATCTAGTTCTCAGGGGGACTGTGGGAACATATAATCATGCATTAAAAACTAGCAAATGCTCCTTCTGCTTTAGTTATCTTCTTACCAACTTTCCCATATTCCTTTTGCAAGACACATCAAACGTTTAGGTTTTCCTTTCTTTTGTTTTGTCTTCTTTTTTTAATCTTCGTCAAACATCCGCCGACATTCTTGCTGACTCTGTAGGTGTTCTGAATCTGCTTCTCTACCTCTTATGCACTTGTTGCCTCGGTTTCAATTTTCTTTGCATTCCCGCCTGTCCTTCTCTCTTACTCTCAGGTCCACTCGACCCCACTCAGATGAGCAGCAGCAGCACCACCGCAGCCAGACCTGTCACTTCTAGCTCCATCCCCTCAACCATGCGACCTCTGCCCCCAACTGCTCACCCAATAGGGGCCATCAACAAGGCACCAGACTTGCGACCTATCACCGCCACTGTGCCGGTGACTCGCAGACCCCTGCGTGTCCCACCACAGGGTCCCGAGCTCCAAGTGTGCGAAGCCAGAGTAGCCCGAGGGGTGCAGTGGCCTGCCACCCAGAGGGGGGAGACGGTAGACAGGCCATGCCCGAAAGGATCACTAGGTGAGTGCTGATGATGGTGTGACTTTAATGAAACTATTATAGACACTTTCAAATAATGATTTTGACTTGAGAAATTAAATAAAAAAATTCCTGTCTACTGATAGCTGCACAGATATCTACTGGGGAGTGAACATTATAGCAAATTGTATCAGTGCTGCTTGACATTTTAGTGTGTTGCGCTTAAGGTTGCAAAATTCCATGAATTTTCAAGACTGGAAACTTTCCATGGGAATTAACGGGAATATATGTGAATTAATGGCAATAAACTGGAAATTTGCTAAATTGCAGGAACTGGGAACTTAAATGTAGTTGAGAAAAAATCTTGCAGCATAATTTTGATAAGTTAAAACAACCAGATTTAATGCAATTTCAGTTGAATTTCTACCCTACACATTGCTCAATAACATGCACACAGCACACTGCTTAGGGCTATTGAGACCACACCCCCTACATGCACTGTGCTTTCCTCCATAACATGAACAGATCATTTCTTAAATCCTGCACACAAAATATCAAAATGTCCATCTTGGTTAGTATTCATGTAAATTATTTGAATATTACAAAATATGTGTGTAAAACTTCCTTGTGCTGTGTGTAATATACTGAGCAACTTCATTAGGCTATACCATTGTATAAACAAATACACTGACTTAATCATTTAGGTGAGATGATAATAATAAAACAAAAGTCTAAAAATGACCCTCCCCCACACACAACCCCCCTTAGTGACCTAAGAGGGGGATTCCCCTTGATTTTCTCTGAAGCCACACTTGCTGCATTTGAGCCCAAAGACTACATCTAAGTTTTGATAATCTAAATATATTTTACCTATGGGATTCAAGTTTAACTAGTAAATAATAAAAACTGTTTATACAGTAGCTAGCTAGCCAGTAAATCAAGATGAAAAATCTAAGCAAGTTAGCACTGACAATTTGACAATTTATGAGGTATATGCTAGCTAGCTAAAGCTGTGATGCTCTTTCTGCTAGCCAGTTTTCTATTATCATACAGAAGTACAGTACTGGTCAAAAGTTTGGACACATTACTATTTCTTATGTTTTTAAACATTGCATCTCTTTTGCTCATCAAGCCTTCATTTATTTGATCAAAAATACTGAACAAAACAGTAATATTGCGCAGTATTACCAATATTACAATTTAAAACAATGGTTTTCTGTTTTAATATACTTTAAAATATAATGCATTTCTTTTTTTAATAAATAAAATATAATGTATTTCTGTGATGCAAAGCTGAATTTTGAACATCATTACTCCAGTCTTTAGTTTCACATGATTCTTCAGAAATCATTCTAATATGCTTATTTATTATCAATTTTTGGAAACAGTTGTGCTGCTTAATATATATATTTTTTTTTATTACCTGTGATTACCTTTTTTCAGGATTCTTTGTATGAATAAAGAGTTTTAAAAAATGAAAAGCATTTATTTAAAATAGAAATCCTTTTTTAACAATACACTACCGTTCAAAAGTTGGGGTCAGAATTATTTTCTCTTTTTTTGAAAGAAATTAACACTTTTATTCAACAAGGATGTGTTAAATTAATAAAAAGTAACAGTAAAGACTTATATTGTTAGAAAAGATTTAAGTATAACATTTTGTTTGACCATAGGCTGACATGCATGCAAACCAATATCCCCCCCCCCCCCCCCCATATTCTTTTGCTTGCTGCCGCGCAAAATGTTTCCAATTAATTACTATAAATTACCCAAAAATCCTGTACATTTCCATAAATTCCTGGTAAGTTTCCAACTTGGAATATTTCCAAAATTCCCCAGATTAAGTTCCCATGGAAAGTGTCTGGAAATATTCCGCCCTTTTGCAACCCTAGTTGCGCTTGATTACAGCATGATGTAGTGGCAGAGGGAATCACAACTTTACAGGAAGGAAGGGTGCGTGATGTTTATGACATAAAGGTCACACAGTGTTTGTTGAGACAGCTTTTCATAGAATTGTTTGTTGTGTTTGGTCTACCTGTGTTGTGTATGCCACTGGGTTCATGTACACATTTATGTGTATACGCCCATTTCTTTGTGTGGAGAGCTTGCTTCCTTTTCCTCCTTATCTCTATATTCTCTCCAGCTGGCAGGTCCTCTTGGGAGTCATAGATAAAAGGCAGTCCTTTGCAAATGAAGGAGTGATCTTCAAACTCAGCATGGGTTAGCCCTGCAAAACTGCCGAATTAAAAAAAAATAGCCACTAAACAGTCTACAAACGACAACATCCCCCCTCCCCATTTCTCCATACAACCGCCTCATCAAATGCCTCTTTCTTGTCGTGGGAGAAAAGTGATTGCTCCCTCTGTTAGCATCTCTCTCTCCCAGCCACTGACAAAACATTGTCTTTCTTCTGTCACCTTTTTCCGTCACTGAAATGACAGACAAGTTAAATTAGCAGCGGTTTTAATTGGTGAATCCTGGCAGATCCTTCAAAGCCAATCTATTGTGGATGAAGGAGTGGAGAGGAGAGAAAAGCAGACAGCGGCTGAGAGCGAGAGAGTGTGTAAGGGAAGCAAATCTCCGGGTGGCTCTGATCTCGCTGTAGCTGCTGTAGTGCTGCTTCACTCCTCTATAGCTTTTCCTCTCTCTCTCTGTCACTCTTTTCCCCTCTCTTCTTTGGAGCTATTTGTGTTGTGGTTGCTGAAAAGGCCTGCCGTTTGTTTGATCCCAGCATGCTGTCCTCTCTGTGTACTCGGCTAACTAAACAGCCCAACTTATCTGAAAATGAGGAGTGGCAGAAGGTGTCTCCCTCGAGGTGTTTTCTCAGCATTCAGAGGTGCCGATGGGATGGCCGTGCCTGGTGTGTGATCTTACACAAGTGTGTGCAAGAGTGTGCGATGGCCAGTGTCAGCAAACTCAGTTACACTGAAAAAAAGTGTTTTCCGTGGAAGGTTTCACAGCGAAGCTCCAAGCAGCCCTGTTCTTTCTTTCTTATTCTATAGCACTCTAGAGTTGAGAATAAATTCAGTCAGTTGGTTTTTGGTATATTTGCTATGAATTTATTTTTGTGTACTTGTGTTTGTACTTATATATCAGGATTTTGTTTTCTCTAAGGAGGTAAGGGAGACAGTATGTCCACAGTAAATTCAAATCAGAAAAAAATGGAGCATTTTGTTCTGCAAAATTGTACATATTATTATAGATACTATTTATTATTCATTTTATAGATAAAAGCATTATATAATCTGATATTTAAATTAGATGTGATATATATATATACATATATGAATGAATGACTTTTTTTATATTCTATCAGTCAAAAGTTTTGTCAACTCTTTCTAGTTTTTTTTTTTTTTTTTTTGTAAAACTTGTGTAAAAATACTGAAAACTATGAAATACAGAAATGGCGGCAAGGGAATTATGTAGTGCCCCAAAAAAGGAGAAATAAATCAGAACTGACTTAATCTGTGCGTCTTCAATGTCGCCTCACTTCGCCTTGATTACAGCATTAGTTATTCTCAACCACCTTAATGAGATGCATCCTGGGAAGGTTATTAAAAAGTATTGAAGTTCACAAGTAGTCTGTACATCTGTTGGCTGTATTTCCTCCACTTGCCACTGTAACTCCATTTTTTTCCACAAAAAAAGGTACATAAAATAAAGAAACAAATATATAAAAAGATTGTAAAGATTTATATGTAGTATGTAAACCCAATGATAAACTTGTGTGAGTGGGTTTTGTGTGGGTATGCTGACTGTTAGTGTAAACAGCTTATATATATATACTGTATATATATACATACATGTACTGTATATAGGGTGCGATTTGCCAAGTGGGATGGGGGGGATTTCCCCCCCTCTGGTCTAGGCATCCCTGCCTCTGCTGAATTATTTAAAAAAAAAACATCCCACGAACCCTCTCCGATGTCCCGATCTAAATCAAATGATTTGCGATATGCGCTTTGAAGTCCCGATCTGAATGAAATGATTTGCGATACGCAATCCAATTGGAGCGTTTTGAAACAGTGAATCGTTTTGTGGCGCAATGGTTTAACTGATTCTGAGTTTCAAAAAGCTCCGTTGATGCTGTGTTCTTTGCTCACTTTCTCTATATAATCTATTCGTTGTTTGAATAACTGTGGAAATCATTATGATTAATAACTAACTTGCAATGTTTTATTCAATTGTGATCACGTTAAATACAGTTTCAGTCATATTAAAAACATTTCATGACATGTCACCTATTATATACTTGCCTAAAAAGACGGGTCAGCCTCTGCCTATGGAGTTTTATACGCCTATAAAAAGTTTTCAAAACCATCCCCCCCTCTGGTTTTTTTCACAAATCGCACCCTGTATATATATATATATATATATATATATATACAGTATATATATAAATATATATATATATATATACACACACACACACACAAAAGTCTTTAAAACCCAAGGTCACTTTTTGTCTGTCCCTCCTAATATCTCGTCTTCTGTTTTCAGGCATCGCATCCTTTCAGTGCCTGTCCTCTCCTGTGCTGTGGAGTCCTCGCGGCCCTGATCTCAGTAACTGCACCTCGCCGTGGGTCAACCAGGTGGCCCAGAAGGTTAGACCACTAAAAGGTTGCTTTTTACTTGCTCTGACCCCCGTTCCCTGTCCTGCTCTGTTTGCTATCTCAGCTATTATCATTCCGGCCTCAGCTCACATTACTGCACGCAGGTCATTCTTTTGACATGATTTGGAACAAAATCTCTCTATTCTATCTATTTGTAAGAGAGAGTTTAAAAGCATCTCAGGATAAAGTCACACTGAACTTACACATCAAGGACTGTTTGTTCTGATTTTCACATGTATTACGAAGCTTTTTCATTTTACAAAGCACTTTTTAGGCATCATATCACTTTTTTTTATGGGTTCCACTGTCGTTGAACTTTTGACAAAAAAAGAGTTAAAACCCAAGGTCTCTCTCTCTCTCTCCCTCTCTCTCTCCCTCCTAACATCTCGTCTTCTGTTTCCAGGCATTGCGTCCTTTCAGTGTCTGTCCTCTCCTGTGCTATGGAATCCTCGCGGCCCTGATCTAAGTAACTGCACCTCGCCGTGGGTCAACCAGGTGGCCCAGAAGGTGAGACCACTAAAAGGTTGCTTTTTACTTGCTCTGACCCCCGTTCCCTGTCCTGCTCTGTTTGCTATCTCAGCTATTATCATTCCGGCCTCAGCTCACATTACTGCACGCAGGTCATTCTTTTGACATGATTTGGAACAAAATCTCTCTATTCTATCTATTTGTAAGAGAGAGTTTAAAAGCATCTCAGGATAAAGTCACACTGAACTTACACATCAAGGACTGTTTGTTCTGATTTTCACATGTATTACGAAGCTTTTTCATTTTACAAAGCACTTTTTAGGCATCATATCACTTTTTTTAATGGGTTCCACTGTCGTTGAACTTTTGACAAAAAAAGAGTTAAAATTTCAATTTTAGTCTCCCTCTCTTTGATCCTTCAGAATAAGTGGACTTTAAGACTTTTATATAAACTTTGTCTTTGCTAATGAAATTAGCTCCATGTTCTGTCTGATGCCTAATATAGTTTGCACTTCCCTTTATTCCAGTAACAAACTCAGTAACAGTGACAGATTCACAACACAGTCCAACTCGGACTGTTAAGGTCAGACTGGAATGATCAGAGACTTGTTCAAAATAAATTCCAGCCCCTCTTTCCTAACAACCTTGGAAAGAATGTGCAGGATATGCAGAGTAGGTTTATTATTATCCTTATCTCTGACTAAATAATAAAAAAAAATGCTAATTGAAATAAAACTGAAATAAAATAAAATGTATATATTAGACGAAAAGCTTAGTTCAGTTAGTTGGCAAGGCAACATTTGAACTGTCATTCAGTTTAAGTTAAAATTACTAACTGGAAATAAAAAGTAAAACTGACAAATTCTAAATAGTAATGTTTGAAAAGCAAAAAAAGTTAACTAAAATTAAATGTATAATAAAAATAATATAACAATAAAAGCTCATTAAAAATCTAATAAAAATTCTAGTAGTATTTAAATAATACTAAAATAGAACTGAATCTGAGGAGATGTTTCCTAGATATATCATTTTGTGTGCAAACATTCAAGTTCTATCCCTTAAATGCAGGCTAAGGGATGCTGGTTAAACATCTCTTCACATCCCGATAGCTAAGTTAAGTGGTCTAAATGAATTTATATGTATTTATATCGTCTGTGGAAGGCATAAGACATTAAAATGTTCATCCAATCATATCCCTCGGTCCGAGGGCTACGATAGGCTCTCCAACCTGCCTGTCAACGTATGTATTTGCATACCTCTGCGCACTCTCTTCATGCAGACATGATACGTCATCGGCACGCTCCGTTACGCTGTTGCAGACCGAGTGAGAATGCAAGTGTCATTATTGTAATATTATGTGCTTTGTACTATAATGTTTTCTCACCGTTGAATGAGACATGAGTTAATCTGGCAGCGTTACATTCAATCCTCCATAAACCGTCTGTCGTCGTGTCGCTGGTTAGCCTCTGGTCTGCCTGTGTGTGTTCATGTGTTTTGGAGGAGGCGTTGCTTTGGAGAGTGATTACCTTCGGTGGGTAGGATTTCAGTGGGCCAGTCTAGGTTCGACTCCTGGCTGGCCTAATGGTTAGAGAGTCGGACTCGTAACCCAAAGGTTGTGAGTTTGAGTCTCAGGTCCAACAGGAATTGTAGGTGGGGGGAGTGAATGTACAGTGCTCTCTTCCACCTTCAATACCATGTTTTGTTTAATAGTTCCATACACATGCAGATTTAATATAAATGTGGTTGTCACTATTGTAAATTAGTGAACTCTTTCTTCATAGAACATAATTAAGGACTCAAAAGAGAAATGTCAACTGTAAAAGGCCTTAGTAAATAAATGGCATTCTTCAAAGGTTCAAAAATCTAAAGATTCACATTAAATTAAAATGTTCAGTTACAGAGTTGGCATTAATGTGTGTGTGTGTGTGTGGGTGTGTTTTTACATACTATTCTAACAGCATTGTTTCTGAACACCACAAAGAGTGGTTACACCATAGCACACTTTGATGTGCCTTTGAGTACCTTAAACACAATGGACTGTTTTTTTTTTCTTTTCTTTTTCTTTTTTTTCTAAACGTCAAGTGACACATTTGCTTCAGGGCAATTACAAGCTATATGTCTGCTTTCAAATAAAATGAGTAATTTTATCACGTTTCACGTTTTAGTTTTTCCCTTTTTTTTGTAATAGCTTGGTTTAGAGAGTCATTAAAGATTTGCTGTCTTTTGTCTGTGTGTCTAGCAGCATAAACCCAGAAACCCCCAGCTCACACCCCCACAGCGCACAGCAGGGGACTGAGCTTTAGAGACCAGACTGTGTGTGTGTGTATTCACTGTTTAGATAAAAAGCGGAGAGAATGCTGCAAACATCGCTGCTGAGCTGGTAAACCACACGCAGGGCCGCATTCACGCCGGTGATGTCAGTTCCTCTGTCAGACTCATCGAGCAGCTATTGGATATATTAGACGCACAGCTGCAAGCACTCAGACCCGGGAATAAGGAATCGGCAGCCAGGAACTACAATAAGGTGACACATGCATGCACACACACTCACACACATTTGCCCTTTAAACAAACCCTTCATGTTTTGTTTGCTGCCACATCAGTGTGCACAGGAATACCCTCTAAACTCACAACCTTGACATGAATCACATGAATGCAGGATCTGCATATACCTATTTTTCTGAGCAGTTGCAATTCTGACTTAGTTTTTCCCCATTTTAATGTGTTAGTAGTTCATTTTTTGAGATCTTACAAATGGGGGGGGAAATAATCAATAATAATATATTGCAAAACATTAATAATTAAAAAGTTAGTGTTAGTAATTAACAACCGGTCCCTATAGATTCTCTTTGCCACCTGGAAAATTCTCAGTCCCTCAAAGTGTATATCGGCCGGGAAGCAAGAAAACACACAGTCAATGGTATTCTCAATACTTCAACTTTATTCATAGATACAAAGATATTATATAGGCATATGTTGAGGGGAGTTTCAACCCTTTAACCAATGAGGATATAGATGACATACATATAGGATGTTGGCCAAGAATATGTGTTATACAAAATGGCCACATGTACAGGAAAATATGGACATATTAGGAATAGACTTGGCGAAGGATGCTGAACTATCTTCATAGTTCATCACAAACCCCATTACCTTAGAGTCCTAGCTATCGTCCTCATTTGAACATTTGAACCCAGAAAAGCTAATGCATACATGTGCGCATGCGTACCTCAAATATGAGTAAGAGATATTAAAACATAATACAAGAGAGAGAGAGAACAGATGGAGGAGGGGGAAATCAGAGAGAAAACAACAGTGCGCTGTACAGGGAGGGCGAGTGAGAGAAGGAGAGAAGAAAAAAGAAAAAGGAGGGGTGAAAACATCTGGAACCAATACAGACAGAGAGTGTTTTCTAACAGTTAGTATAAAAAATTATATTACATTTTATATGATTAATTGTAAAGTTTTTTTTTTTAATGTTTAATATATCATATATTTCACACATTTTTGTTGGATGGAAAAGAGCTAGATGGCTTCTGCAACAACATTTAACCTTTTTTAATATACAAATGATTATTATTATTATTATTATGTAAGATGCATTTGAAATTGACTGAACATCTATTTGAATTGGCATGATTCTTCTGCATACACTTTTTTGAGTGGTTGCAGTTTTGGATTTTATTGTTTTAGTAGCTCATTGTATAGATTTTATAGATAGACAGACAGACAGACAGACAGAAATACACACACACACAGATAGATAGATAGATAGATAGATAGATAGATAGATAGATAGATAGATAGACAGACAGACAGACAGACACACACACACATAGATAGATAGACAGACAGACAGACAGACACACACACACATAGATAGATAGATAGACAGACACATAGATAGACAGATAGATAGATAGACATAGATAGATAGACAGACAGACAGACAGACACACACACACAGATAGATAGATAGATAGATAGATAGATAGATAGATAGACTAGGGAGCCTGTATATAAAATGCATTATAAAGATATTAAAATGCAGTCAGAATTTCCTTATAATACACCTGCGCTGTTCAGTGCTGGTCTTGAAGGGCCACTAGACTAAAATACTGCAAAGAAACAAAGGGAAATAGATACGAAAGTATTGTGCATCAACATCAATGAACACAATTTGCTACTTTCTAGTTTGTTTTAGGTGGTATTATGTCTCATTCTTGAGAAAATTTGATAAATTGACAAAAATCTGTGGTGCAACACAAGTCATCTATATTTTTGACCCAATTTCCTTTAAGAGTGTGTGCATTTCGAATTCATATAAACCACTGTTTGGGGTCAGTATATTTTTAAAGAATAAAACTTTAATTCAGCAAGGATGCATTCATTTGATCAAACGTGACAGTAAAGACAAAATGTAGCAAAATATGTATATTTCAAATAAATGCTGTTCTTTCAATTTATCAAAGAACCCTGAAGAAAATGTCACGATTACTTTGGGGACCAATTCTCGCTATTAACTAACTATTAACTACCACTTTTGCCCCGATAAACTCCCAATTTGCTGCTTATTAATAGTAAGGTAGTTGTTAAGGAAGGGGTAGGATTTAGGGATCTAAAATATGGTCATTAAGGGATCTAATATAAGGCATTAATATGTGCTTTATAAGTACTAATAAACAGCCAATATGCTAGTAATATGCATGCTAATAAGCAACTAGTTAATAGTGAGAATTGGTCCCTAAACTAAAGTGTTACCTAATTAATAATAATAAATGTGTCTTGACTGCTAAATCATTGTTTTAGGACTGACACTGAAGACTGGTGAAATAAACTTTACCAAGGGAATAAATACATTTTTTTAAATATATATTTAAAAAAAAACTCTCGTTTTGATTTTATGAGGCCTTTTAACATAGTTCCATGAAGTATTATATTATATTATATTGGTGGTTACTTTTAATGAAAAGATATAATGCATTACAGTATGGCATTATGACTGCATTCATTATGCATAACATATACAGGCATCATAGAAAGTGCTATCCATATTTTTTATTGCATATGCCTACCTCAGATGAGTTTGAACTGCAGCTGGTTTGTTGTGTGTCTGTTGTGTGTGTGAGAAAGAGAGACTTCTAGCAATCTTGCCCAAGGCTTTCTTTTAGCACTCTTCTAATCTACAATAGCCTATAAGATGTTGCTCCTTAGTAGAAATACATTTCAAGCGTTACATAAGATTCACAGATGTGACATTCACAGAGAGTCATATTTTCTCATCTTTGATGTCGAGTGTAATTATGATGAAGTGTAAGTGTATTTGTTTGTGCATGTGTGCGCAGGCGGTTGTGCAGACTGTGGATAATCTTTTGCGTGCCGAAGCTTTAGAGTCATGGCAGGACATGAACAGTACGGAGCAGGCGCATACCGCCACCATGCTACTGGACGTCATGGAGAAAGGAGCCTTCCTGTTGGCCAATAACATGTACAATAATCACTTCTCAGACCATGCTGCCAATGTCGGTGAGTTTGTGTTGACAAGAAACTAACTGGCTTTGTGTTCCTACACTCTAAAAAATGCTGGGTTAAATACAACCCAGTGCTGGGTAAAATAGGGACAAACCCAGCAATTGGGTTGTTTTGACCAATGTTTAACCCAACCTTCCGGGTAGTAACCCAACCACTGGGTTAAAACAACCCAATTGCTGGGTTTGTCCCTATTTTACCCAGCACTGGGTTGTATTTAACCCAGCATTTTGTAGAGTGTAGTAAAAATGAAGGTTTCAAAAGAGGGTTTTCACACTGATGCCATAGAAGAACTATTTTGGGTTCTCCACAGAACCTTTGAGTGAAATGTTCTTAAGAGAATCATCTTTTGTCCAATGAAAAGGTTTCATGGATGTTAAAGATTGTTCATGGAACCATACCTCTAAAAAATGCTGGGTTAAAAACAACCCAAGTTGGGTTAAATATGGACAAACCCAGCGACTGGGCAGTTTTATTTAACTCAACTATTGTTTAAAAATGATTATGCCTGGCTTAAAATGAATTAAAAGTCAGACCATTTTTTTACTAGAGGAATCCGTAATAATCAAAAGGTGAACATTTATGAATAAGTGTTTAATAAATGTTTAGTATTTCATTATTTATTAAACGTATTCATAAATGTTTGTTTATTAAATATATTAAAATATGTTAATATCCAACCTATTTGGGGTTCATTTTAAGCAAGAATATATAGTAATTTTTATACAAAGACAACTTTCCAGTAAAAACAACCCAGTCACTGGGTTTGTCCATATATAAACCTTGTTTAATAGTTATTTTTACTTTATTTTTGTATTCAGTGTTCAAAACTTTAATGTTTTTGAAATAAATCTCTTGATTGATAAGTCTTGATAAGTCTTGTAATGATTAAAAACACAGTAAATATTGTGAAATGTTATTACAATTAATAATAGCTGTTTCATATTGGAATATATTTTCAAAAGTAATTTATTCCTGTGATGACTAATTTTATTTAGTCATTGATATTTTTTTATATTTTTTGGAAACTGATACATTTTTGGAGGGAATCTTTGATGAAGGCAAAGTTCAAAAGAACAGCATTTATTTGAAATAGAAATATTTTGTAACATTATAAATGTCTTTACTCTTACTTTTGATAAATCTGATCAATTTGTGTCCTTGCTGAATAAAATTATTCATTTCTATATATATAAAAAAGAAGTTTTTCTGACTTTTTAATAGTAGTTTATAATGTACAGTATACAAAATGTATGAAGTTTATAGTGCCCGGATAAATAACTCTTTTGACTACTACTTCAAAATGAGTAACTTTTATTGTAACCTTTCAGGGCTTTTTTTGCTGTGTTATTACAGTTCAAACTCTCAAAGTGTGTGTTTTTGTGTGTCTTCAGATCTAGAGGTGCGCGTGTTGAACACAGAGACAGAGTCTCAGGATTTGTCGTTCCCTCAGAACGGTCCCAGTGACAGCAGCATCCAGCTCTCGGCCTCCACCTTCAAACAGTACAGCCGCAACGGTCAGTCACAGCTCTCTCTCTCTCTCTCTCTCTCTCTCTCTCTCTCTCTTCTTGCCCCTTCCATCTCGATGTGCGACTCGCCCCCGTGCAGTTTCACTGAAGCTTAGCGAAATTTCCACTTCGGTTTACCCTGTTATTGGTTGATAATAATAAACCTAATCAGATTAACAAAAGCGCTGAGACCATTGCTTCCCTGATGGTTTCTTAACGGCGCTCTTAATCGAACAGCCCGAGAGGCGACTAGATTACTATCATTTTCAGGCTGACAGAGCAATCTCGGCTCTTTTTTCTCTCCTTCCTGTCCCCTCCATCTCTTAGCCATCTTATCCCGCCATCAGCTCTCCTACTCCTCGCTTTTTCCGCCATTCCCGCGTTTAGCTTCTTTTTGAAACCACGTCGTCGTTCGCTGCTTCTCATCGGGGACAGGTTGGGCGGGGGGATGTGATATTAGTATGATTGAAACAAACGCACATGAAATATTCATATGGAAGAAACGGAGTGAGTGAGTGCTGAAGGGATGAATGTTCTGTTGCCCTCCATATTAAAATTCCTTCATCCCCTGATCACTCACTCACCCCCTCCCAGCCCAAATCATTTTAACCTTCACTCAAGTCACTCTACCACTCCCTTTTTCCTCTTAGTTGTTATTCATATCCTTCCGCCACTCAGTAACTCTCTCTTTCTTTCTTGTGCTGTGTTTCTCTGTACAGGCCAGGTAAAAGTGGTCTTTGTGCTCTATAAGAATCTGGGTTCGTTCCTGTCCACTGAAAACGCCACCGTGAAGATGGAAATGGAGGCGGGGCCTGGTGGGCGGGGCCTGGCAGTGAATTCACACGTCATCGCAGCTTCGATCAATAAAGAGTCCAGTCGAGTGTTTCTGACCGAGCCTGTGGTGTTCACACTTAGACATTTACAGGTACATAAAACTCACACAGTCACAATTACATTATAATTTCATCACATTACATTTAGTAAACAAGCAAGAAAACATTAGTTACTTTCACGCATGGGGTTACATTCGCGAAACATAAACACATTTCTGTGTAAATTATCATTTTTTTTGCATTATGATTATTTCATTATCCTTCACTTCCCCTAAAATCACCTTTCCTCAGACCTCAGTACTTCATGTACACTACTGTTCAATATTGTAAAAACATTTACATTGTCTTACAATTCAAATAAATGTTGTTCTTTTGAACTATATATTCATCCAAGAATTGAAACAACTGTTTTCAACATATACAAAACGTTTCTTGAGCAGAAAAGCAGCAAATCAGATGAATATTGAATGATTTCTGAAGGATCATGTGATACTGAAGACTAGAGTAATGATGCTGAAAATGCAGCTTTGGATCAAAGGAATAAATAAAATTTAAATGTATATTTATTTTAATTTAATTTAATATATATATATATATATATATATAAATGCAGCCTTTCTTCCACAAACCTTAAAAAAATCTTACCAGACTCAAACTTTTCATATATATATATACACGATCATCAAGCATTGAACAGCATATAAATCTAAACTTCATAATGTTACCGAATGGAATGTCGATCCAGTATGGAAGCAATATATTCCTTTTTTTTTCATTATTGTTCTGAATCGGATCTAGACATAGTATTTTACAAAAGCACAATGTTTTGTTCAAAATGTTGCTTTTTTCATTAAACTTACCCATATTCAAGTGTTAATAAAAAAGATTGCACAAAGCTCGAATAAAACGTTTTGTTGTTGTTGATGTTGTTGTTGCAGAGGCTCTGTTTGTTCAGATATTCATACAACAAAATATTCTGGGGGCCATTAAACAGCTGTGAAAATGATAAAAAATGCAGGCAGTGGCTGACAACTTAAATAAATAAAAACACTGATGAGAAAGGATTTAAGTGGCTAGCAACACCACAAAAAAGCTCTTCATTTAATACATGTGTGTTTTGCAAATTACCGTTTTTTTTCCAACACTGCAAGCAAAAGATCAGTTTGAGACCATCATCCTGTAGTGTCAATACATTCATTAGCGTGACTGCTACAGTACATGTGTCTGCATATTTATAATGAATATTTGCTGTGACAGAACTGCACACATTTGTGAGCAAATGGAAGCAGCAGGAAATTGCTCATGCCCCTTAAACGTGAATTCTTCTCAACATGTTGGAACAGACGAATCCAAACATAATTCCTTTTGTCGCTTCTGTAACACGTCTCGGTACTCAAGAATCAATGAGAGATTTATTGTTTATAATTCACTCTAATTGTGCTGCCTTTGCAGTGCAGAAACTGCTATTTCAGACAATACAGTGAAAATCAATTTGGAAGTGCTAGATGGTCCCTAACCATAAAGGCTTCGCACATGACTCCTAAACAGAAAACATTATGTGTGAAAGCCAATCTTTTACGGTCTCTCTGTTGGTTCTTGTTTGCAGCTGGAGAATCATTTCAGTCCAAACTGTTCATTCTGGAACTACTCCGAGCGTTCGATGACGGGCCAGTGGTCATCTCAGGGCTGCAGGCTGATGGAAACCAACAGCACACACACAACTTGTTCTTGTAGCCATCTAACCAACTTTGCCGTGCTCATGGTACACCACGAACCTGACGTAAGACAGATTCCTTCTTTACGTTCATCAGCTGCTTGCAAACAAATCTGAATATAGCTCTCATGCACATAAACAACTTTTCCGTTTGCACGCAGTCTATAAGACAAATACACATATCTGTACACATAAGAGCAAAATACACAAACAAACACACTGCAATTTCAACTTGACATTTCCTGGATTTTCATAAGTCATTCTCCCTCAGGCAGCCTATCCGTTTATACCATTTCCCTTATCCATCTCTCGTTCTCTCTCAGTATCCAGGCAGGATGCACGAGTTGATCCTCTTTGTGATCACATGGGTGGGTATCGTCATTTCACTGGTGTGTCTCGCCATCTGTATCTCCACCTTCTGCTTCCTGCGAGGCCTGCAGACTGACCGCAACACCATCCACAAGAACCTGTGCATCAACCTCTTCATCGCCGAGCTCCTCTTCCTCATCGGCATCGACAAGACGCAGTACCACGTGAGTGGATTCGTGATCTATATTAAGGGGAGAATGCACTGGGAATGAATTTCACCCACTGATTGTAGTGTTTATGTGCACCCACCGATAAAACATGCTGTCTGCATTGTTTTAGCATCCGATTAACTGAAGGAATTAAATGCAAACTGCATTAAGTGCAGGTAATTTGCATTCATTTGCATGCCACGGTTCAGATGAGTTCTTGTTCTGAGTGCTCGGTTGTGGAGGATGCAGCAGACTATCACAATCTGACGTACTTTACTGGGATTTCATTCCCCATGTTCTTGCTCTCTGATCTAAATGAATACTTTCATTCAGCAAGGATCCATTAAAATAATCAAGTGACATTAAAGACTGTCAATTAAAGACCCAGCAGACTATCACAATCTGACGTACTTTACTGGGATTTCATTCCCCATGTTCTTGCTCTCTGATCTAAATGAATACTTTCATTTAAAATAAGGATCCATTAAAATAATCAAGTGACATTAAAGACTGTCAATTAAAGACTGAAAATCCTGAAAAAGCAGCACAGCTGTTTTTAACATTGCTAATAATAATAAATGTTTCTTGAGCAGCAAATCAGCATATTAGAAGGATTTCTGAAGGAGCATGAGCCACTGAAGACTTGAGTAATGATGCTGAAAATTCAGCTTTGATCACAGGAATAACTTACATTTTAAAGTATATCAGAAGTAGAAGTCCGTTATTTTCATTTGTAATTATAGTTCATAATATTACTGTTTTTACTGTGTTTTATCAAATAAAGGCATCCTTTGTGAGCATAAGAGACTTCTTTCAAAAACATTAAAAAATCTTAATGACTCCAAACTAAATTCACTTAGTGTATATAATGTAATAAGGTAATGTATATAAAACAATACATTTCAGAAACACAAACATTACCCTTGTAGCGTGTTATTCACATGATGGAACATTTTTGGAGCGACTTTCTAAAAAATTGCCTCCAGGCAAAATTATGCAACTCTGGTGTATTATATGTTGATTATGCATTTACTGCGCATTTAAGCTGCTCCTATGTTTATTTTTTTTGGGGTGTAATTTTTACTTTGAAGCAAGCAACATTAATTAGATGAGTTTTAAGGTTATTGTTTTAAAAGCTGCAATTGTTGATTGTCAGACTTTCCGAACATCCCAGCAATAGGCCGTGTCGCACTGTGAGATCTCTGTTGTCATTAGTATCAGACTGTATGACAGTAAAAACAAGAAGATTCATCTTCAGTGCTCCTGTTGGTTTTTCATTTGACGGTCATAGAAGAAGCCACACTGTAGGACTGTGCCTCAAAACTTCTAACACTGACAGAACCTCATTGAAGGAAAATTTTGATAGTAATAGTCATTAATCGGTTGTCTGCGAATATGTCATATGACCTAGGATCAGAGGAATCTTAGGAAATTCTAAGTTTGTCTCAGACGGCCAAAATAGCACAATGTATACCCGGCTTAAGTTGGTTTCTTCTGTACTCCTGCTTTAACTGAAGTGTCATGTCTTGTCAGGGATGGGGTCGTCTTTTTTTTTTTTTTTTTTTTGGTTGGCCAATTAAAACAGTACCCAGTGTGTTGAACAGAGTTTTACATTGACCGCTGAAAGCATATCTGTTGACAGTTGGTGTTGATGAGGTTTGTGTTTTAGTCAGCCAACCAAAAATGAAAACCCTAGTGAAACAACACTTCTGAGGAGAAGAACAACCAATTAAAACATGAAACACTGTGAACGATTTAAAGCTGCTGAGTTCACATCGAAAATTATACCCTAAATTATCAGCTCTGCTATGTTTTCTGATTCAAGAGCAAGCTGATTGAATGCAGAATCAATATATCATACAGCGATCTTCAGAAATGAAAATGAGCATGGACACGTTTTAAAATGATTAGGATATTGTGACTTATTAGTTTCATGATAATACAAATTGTGATGCCTTTCACATCAGTCTATTGACATCGAAAGTTCCCTGTTGAAAGCAGTGGTTTCATCTGATTGGCTGATTTAATGCATCTCTTCCAGAGTTCGGGCTGCATTAGTATGCTGGCAATCGAAATCATTTGACAAGGTGCCAAGGTTGCTACAATGAGCTCTTCAGAAGAAGAACTTGTAGCTGGATAATGTTTGCAGGGTTTTTTTTTCTTTTCTTTTTCAGATGATATAGTTTTTCATGAGGCACTTAACAAGTAAATGATAAATCCATGAGCAGATCTGTATCTTCCGCTTTGCAGGGGCGTAGAAACAATATGTAAAGTGTGGGGGCTGCATTATGAATCTCAACAGCCTCTCTTTGCAAGTATGGCTGCCAAGTTGCTGTGGATACATTTATACAAGATATGATTTGAAAGCTTAAAAGCCAAACTTTCCAGAAACGTCAGTCACTATAAAATATACACAAGTCATAAAAATGTCATTATTAAGCCGAAAACTTAGTTGCGGCAACTACGAATATAAAATTATAATTTTTTTTGTCGAAGACTACTTTTCTTCTGTTGTTCACTTCTTCTCTCTTAAGAAATGTACTTCCTGTCAGGCTCAGCGCACAAACTGTGCCAAGCACGACTTGAGTCTTGCATATTAATAATGTTATGTGACGTTCGCACTAAGTGATTTGCTGAAAGGTGGATGTTTTTAGGTGAGTGCACTTGCAATAGTGGGATTACTGTTTGCCGCCTGCACATTCGTTCAACCAGTCGATTGGCAGATGCTGCTGCTGGGAGTCCTTTTATGTGCCAGCTACATTTTATTTTTCTTCACACTGCAGCCCAGCAAAATAAATCCCTTTTAAATATGATTATCATCTGAAAGCAGAGGAGGGATGCATTTATTATGTTTTTTAAAGTGTTGGAGGACAGAGATTTATGCTAAAAGTCACTTAGAAAACAACATGTAATTCACATCAGAGGGTCTCAGAAGTAGGTGCTTCTGGACCAAAATAAAGTGCAATGTGGATCAGACTTAATGGGATAGTCCCCCCAAAAATGACTGAACACGAAATAAGATATTTTAAAGAATGTTGGTAACCAAACAGTTCTGTCGGGACCACTATCATCAAAATGATAGATACTTAGCATAAAGTTTGGTTTGGCGGTATGGTTCTGTTCTGGGCAAAAACCTCCCTGCCCATCCATGCAGCCTGTCATGAATGAGCAGGGAGAACAGCAATAATAACCCCCCAGGGTTAACAGAACAGAACAAGGCAGATATCATTAATGTACTCAATGATATTTAAGTGTAACACTTTATTCAAGATAAAGGAGTCTGATTAGCAAGGAATATCAGAAAGCTAAGTCCTGACTGTGGCAAAAGGTGGAGCTGGGGATGGAGGAAGGTAATTTGCTCCGGAGCAAGCTGAAAAGCTGCTGAATAATACTGAATACAGCTTATATAGAAATGCCGCGATAGGTGTCATATTCCTATAGGTAGATGTGATCAGCTGAGAATCAGCTGATGCAAGCTTGACTCACGTGACCTGCCAGAACTAACGCTAAAGCTTAATTTTCGGTTCCCATTGACTTCCATTGTATTCTTTGTGCATAACATTAAAGTCAATGGTCATCAAGCCTGTTTAGCTACTCACATTCTTCCAAATATCTTCTTTTATGTTCCACAGAAGAAAGAAAGTCATACATGTTTGAAAAAAAAAAAACACGAAGGGAAGTAAATGATCATTTTTGGATGTACTGTTCCATTTATGTTCATAGTCACTATGCACTATATTTTGTCTGATATTTTTCTCACTAACCTCCTTTTCCCTCTTTTTTGTCCAAATACAGATTGCATGCCCCATTTTTGCAGGCCTGCTGCATTTCTTCTTCCTGGCTGCATTCTCCTGGATGTGTCTGGAGGGAATCCAGCTGTATCTGATGCTGGTGGAGGTCTTTGAGAGCGAATACTCCCGAAAGAAATACTACTACCTGTGTGGCTACTGCTTTCCTGCCCTGGTGGTGGGCATCTCGGCAGCCATTGACTACCGCAGCTACGGGACTAAGAAAGCGTACGTGTGAAGCAGTCTATTAGCACTCGGCCATACAAGGACCACTGGTTTTTGAGCAGGGGACGCGACCCCCTCTTTAAACCATTTGTTTCATTTAAATGGATTCCAGCAAAATGGCTCTCTGGGAGTTGAAATTCCATATAGTGCAGTATCATCTTTCACTAGGAAACATACACTGGTATTATGTAGTTTGGAGTTCAGTTGGATGATTGGCTGCTGACATGTGATCCTAGCCTAACCAAGGTCATCATGTGAATTATAAATGAAGCCAGTTAAAGATGTTGCAAGCACCTTTTTTTGGAATAGCATGCATAAATCTGACAGATCCTGCCCTGATAATTCACTTTACAAGAACACGTCTCAAAGCTGCATCTCACATTATTTTTAACATTACATCAGAAAACTAATCTTATGTAGGGTTTTGATGATCATGGAAACCTTGGAAATATTAGGGAGTATATAAGCTACTAAATAAAATCTTAAAAATGTATGGAAATTTATATATTAGTGCTGTCAATCGATTAAAAAAATTTACTAATTAATTGCAAATTTTTCTGAAATTAATCGCAGTTAATCCCACCTAACATTCGAGTTTTTAAATATACTTTTATATTGCAATCATTTCCCATTCAATCTTCAAATTAATGTACAAACAACATAAAGACAGTATATATTTTAAATATTTGTTTAATGTCATCTTTTTTATGACTGAATACCATTATCTTTGACACCAATACTGATTTCTATATAAAATTGACCCCCCCCCATATTTAAATATTGACTATAGCCATTCAACATTACAGTATAATTGAGAGCTATCAATTTTTACATTTATTAGACTTTAAAGAATAACTTCTAATTTAAGTGAACTTAAAACAATCTTCACATAAACCCATTATAATAAATGTCATATTTACTTGTGCCCTTCAGCAGAAATATACAGAAATTGAAATTGAAGTTATCAAACACTTAATTCTAAATTAAATATAGATGAATCCTTAAAGCTATAAAAGTAATTTTTTCCTCTTTTTTTCTTTGTTCTTTGATTAATAGACATCACAGCAGCTGGTTATTAGCTTATTTTGGCTGCTATTTCTTTAAGAGCTGCCGCTGCTGAATGTGACGCGGATCTGACACGCATCATATTTTCTCTCAACTCTTTTTACCTTTTCTGACCCACTTCAGGTCTTAAAGTCTCCATTAATGAGCTGACGAGTTAAATCGGGTGTGTTAGATGAGTGAGACAGTGCTGGGCTGCTCTAGGACAGTTTTGAAAACCATTTCAGAGACATTCCAAATTTTTGGAAACTTCATGACATAACTGACCACGGCATTGCATGCACGTAGTTTATTTTGCGCTTTGATATGAAAGGATACAGGCTACAGCACGCTAACGCAGCCCTAGCCCCGCCCTTGCATTAATTGTGTTAAATATTTTTAACACGTTAAACTGAAAAAATTAATCGCCTTAATTAAATAAAACGCGTTAATTTTGACACCACATATATATATATATATATATATATATATATATATATATATACAGATTTTGTTTTAAAATGCTTAAAGTAATACTAATGACAATTGTTATTGTTAAATCTTGTCTATTCACAAACAACTCGAAAAAGTTATGTTTACAAAGTTATATAAGTACATTATTCAAAAGTGTGGGAGCCCTAATTTTACCTCTTTACTTTGAGGGGGCGGGGTTTTGTTTAGAAGGCGTGGTATAATTTATTGTCTAGCGGTAGTTAACAAAATCACTTACAGCACCTTTAACTGAGCTGATTACTGTGTGAGCGTGTGTCGCTCTGTGTGTTAGTGTGCACTTAAGTGTGTGTTGGTCTGTGTGCGACTGTGGAAAAATAGCACAGCTGCAGACTTTTGAATGTTGACTACAGTGCAGAAAATGAGACGCTGGGTCAGTGCACTAATGATTAAAAACTGAGCTTAACCTTCAACTAGACGTTTATTGCTCTTTTATTAGCTTGTTTTTATGCCAAAAAATGTATCGGCATCTCGAAAGCAATAATATTTTAAGATGTCTTGCAATTATTTCAAAGCATTCGATGATCAGTAATGTGCTGCTTCATAAAATGCATATGTGATTCTGCCTGTAATGAAGTGATCATTCTTTGAACAGTGAAATGTTACTGATGAGGTTATCGTGTGTGTGTTTTGTGTGTAGGTGCTGGTTGAGGGTGGATAACTACTTCATCTGGAGTTTTATCGGCCCTGTGTCCTTCATTATCATGGTATTGTTCTCTCCAAACATTCAGCGCTCTCTCTGCTTTGTTTAGAGTTTGTTCCTTTTTTTTCTCTCTGAAAAGTGCTGTGCTAGTCATATCAAACAAAGCACTTTTGTTCACCCATGGATCTGTTGCTGCTGACGACTATGTTTTTGGCTGTAATATGCTTTATATGAGTGTGGAGCTTAGATATGGGAACTTGCTGACATTTTCGTAATTACAATATATTTTACTAATGTGTTAGCTCTGTTTTTGTTGTTATTGGTTTGTGAGAAAAAAGTTTTTTTTTTTATCTTTCTAAAGTTATTTTCTTACTTGCATTGGATCTCTAACACAATGAGTGAATTTCTGTGTAAATGTTCGTTTCACCATTCTCATGTAAATTGTTGCATTTAATTGCAGCAATTTAAGATAGAATGATTTCACGAACAATTTACACTGAAATTCTGCTTGTGTTTTATGAATGAGGCTCATTGTTAGGAAGAAAGCCGTGGTTTAAATTGTCTTTCCAGTGTAGACATTTTCTAAAGGGCTTGTCCTTTTTATATAGCCAATAGGCTTTAATTTGTGTCACAATGACTTGGAAGTTAATGACTTTAAGTTAAATTTTTCTTTTGTCTTACCTTTGACCTTTAGTTGAACCTGGTGTTCCTCATGATAACACTTCACAAGATGGTCCGTAACTCTTCCGCCCTCAAACCCGACTCCAGCCGCCTGGACAACATCAAGTGAGAGTCTTCCACTGCAAAAATGCACATTATAGTCACATTATCTGTGATGTTTTTGTTGTATGTGTATGTATTGTGAATGTATGCATGTTCTCCCTCAGGTCCTGGGCTCTGGGGGCTATCGCATTGCTCTTCCTTTTGGGTCTGACCTGGGCCTTCGGCCTCCTCTTCATCAATGAAAACACCATCATCATGGCGTATCTTTTCACCACCTTTAATGCCTTCCAGGGCATGTTTATCTTCATCTTCCACTGTGCTCTGCAGAAAAAGGTCAGTGCCATTAATGTTTCATACCCAGATAATACTTTGGGGACACATTTGCTGCAAAATTTCCTTAGAAGTTATCTAAATATGGAAAAAGACAAAAATGGTGGTGTCATCACAGGTTAAAACAAGTTAAAAAGGCTCTTTTAGGAATACCTTTGGGTTAGGATTCATCTGTGATATTATTAGTTTTATAATTAGCGTTACTTAAAGGTGAAGGGTGTCATTTCTGCACGATTATTGGCAACAAAAGAAAAGTACTAATTGTTTTCAAACAGGTTTTCAAGCACTCCATCTGTCATTGTTCGGTTAAACAAAGCCCTGCCCCCAAACACATGCCATTGGTTGAGCCCTGTGTTGAAGAAGCAGTTTTGAAACTCTAGCTTCCTGTATAAAGTAATTAAACAGTTGTCAAGCTATCTGAGCTATTAACAAAAAGTAGTTAAATGCATTAAGATTTCAGAAGAATGTAATACGTTATTAAATGTATATTAATATATATAT